CACACACACACACAAACAACCTGGGTTTTATAATAAGTATAACTCGATATGAGTTGTCTCCCTTTCATTCTCGCGACAGCGATGCCTCTTAAACGTGTTTTCAAATTGATTTCGTGCAAAAAAAATTGTGTTTTTCCCATTTTTGGCGCTGTCAGAACCACCGCAAGGTAATTTTACGTAGTCCTGTGAAGTTTTGTTGAAATCGGTCGAAAAATGTAGGAAATCCTATCCAATATATAAACGTACAGACACACACACACACACAACCTGGGTTTTATAATAAGTATGATTATCGCGCCGAGGGTGAGGCGAGCCTACAGACAAACATCATTCAGAATTTCAGCTTTCTTTTTTAGAATTTTAGTATAAGACGATCCTCAATTTTTCAGGGTGATTTAGGGGATTTAAAGGTTGTCTTACACTCGGAAATATACTGTACTTGTCCCGTCATCTTCATTCTCTTTATATCCTAATGTTATTCACATCAGGTTCAATGTGTTTATAGTAACCTCATTATGTTCATATCAGCCAACCGATGTTGTTGCTTCCATTTTCAGGGTATATTTATATGAACAGTATGTCATCTGCAGTTCAGCATTTTACTACAAATATCAATATTAACGTATTTTGATGGAGTCAGGTTTTATCACGCAAACTAATAGATTATTAATTTTCATTTTTCATTCTTTTTTTTGTCTAGGTCTTGTGTTCAACGAGGCTATTGGCAACTGTGACTGGCCTTACAATGTACCCCCTCCATGTGGAACGAAAACATTCTAAAGTTTCTGTAAAGTACAAGAAGTGTAGAGAATGCAATAAACTGTTTTGAAATGGTTTTTGTTTTTGTTTTTTGCTCTCTCTTTCGCTTTTCATTTGAGAGAAAGTGAGAATATATAGACGAAGAGAAATTAGGTCACAATATTGAAGGGAAAAGACAGTTATTAATTTTAGACGAGTATTTCTTTTATTTGAAATTCAATCACCTTCTATTACGATGACTCAAACCAATGTAACATTAACGTGATTTTTTTTTATGAAAAGATACATTATCATTTTAAGACATTTTTATGTTTATACGTTCTTTTTTCATAGATACAAATATTTAAGTAAATGCTCTGTTTATAATAAACAGTATTAATAAAACATTTACTGGCCTGAATGTCCGACAAATTGTCATAGAAAATATGCGTCCTCCGACAGGAATCGAACCTGTATCCTATACGGATCCGTCATATAGCCTGACGTGCTTTTACCGATTTCGCCACAGAGGAGCGTTTCTGTTAACAATGTCGATTTTACTGTTTTTAAACTACAATTTTCCATGATTTTCTCACGTACGTTCATATCTGCTCGATACGTATCCAAATGTAAACAAATGACGTCACACAACATGAAATTATGTTCAATTCCTGTCGGAGGACGCATATTTTCTATGACAATTTCTCGGACATTCAGGCTGGTAAATGTTGTTAATACTGTTTATTATAAACAGAGCATTTACTTAATTCTGTAGAACCACGTGTTTGTTGCTTCAATTGGTAATCTGCGTGCATCAGATTCGAATTGATCTCCTGCCTGTCCCAAAGTTTCCATAGTTCACGCTATGGATGTTTTTTTTAATGAGAGAGATGCTAGTTCGAGCACCGCTGAGAGCTTATCTGTTATTTCTGATCTGCGCTGTTTATTATCGGACATAGAGTGACGGCCAGCCTTTCTCGACCGGTGCGCTCGGGTGCACTAATCTGCCCTGAAAGGTAGTCAGGTGCGCCCTATATTAACAGTGTTGTAATGAATATGCATACACCTGGGTTCCCCCTCACAGTAATATGATTGACTGGTGTCAGCCATAAATACAGACTGATATGGAGGTACATGGACTTCGCCTATTGCCTACACATATTGCCTACCACTACGACGAGGACCAGTCCATTACGGTTACCTGCTAGATTGTCCTACCCGGTTACAGTAGTCCAAAACTCACTTTGCTACTTCGGACAAATAAATTCCTTTCTGGGACATATCAAACAGAAAAAGTAATTATAGATTATTTCTATATTTAAAAATCTTTATTTTCAAAAAGCTAGAAAGACAGCAAACATATGGCTTCACTGTCTAAGTCAAGTCTTTGACATTTTAAACTGGATGATACACTATTTACATTGTTCGGACTGTTGTCCTCATCTTTATTGTCATATTGACGACGTTTCGCTCGAAGAAGGCCGGAGTGTACAACGGCTGAAACGTCGTGAATATAGCAGTCTGAATGATGTAAATAATGTAAATATTTACAGTACTTCATCTCAGAAATATAGACAGATGGATGCTAAATCCCTTAATCTTTAAGAAGGAGTGGATAATCAGGGGATTTAAACAGTCATTATCAGCCTCTCAAAAAAAATGCAGATTCTTAATAAAGTCCTTTAAATGAAAACTATACCGCTAATCTTCTTTGGGAATGCGAAACCAAACATTGATATCTGCCTATATTTCTGAGATGAGGTATTATGTACACTATTTACATTATTCGAATTATTGTCCTCATCTTTGCTGCCATTGTATTCGTTCAATGAAAACGATATAATTTCTAAAGCGGTTTAAAACTTTTTATATAAAAATTATTCCGAGTTAACTCCCCTAGATCAATAGTCTTTGTCGCCCATTATATTGCTTACCTCCCTTTATTGACAAAGATGGATGTGCAAAATTTGAAGCGAAATTAGCAAGTAGTGTTCAAATTTCTTTTTAATCTGTCGTAAAAGGCCATTGGAGAATGTATCAGTCCATCTCTTCTCTCCCAAAAATGAGTTAAATGTGGCTGGAAGCCAGTCTAGAAGGAAAATACTGTATTGAAAACTATTCCACAATCTTCTCCAACTAATCATGATAATTCACAGAAAATAAAGGAAAAGGTACTTGTGAAGAATCATATTCGCCTATGTCTGGAAGGGACATGGCATTAAAATAAAAAAAAAAAAAAATTATCAAAGGTTGGCTTATATTTCATAAAATAAGATATTGTATCGAAATTTTATGCAAGTTCTTGCTGTGGTAGACTTAGTCGGTTTGGGTAAATACTAGTCAATATTATGTTGCAGGAATCAATACTTTCAATAGTAAACATTTACAGGCACCTGGAAAACTTATGCCACAAATAACATTGGCATACTCAACGTGAGTCCAGATAAAATAAAGTAACACAAAACAACAAATATAAAACAAACAACAATGCATGTATTAACAAAAGGAATTGCATGTATACATGCAATAATAAATTGTAATGAAAAGGAAAAAACATTAAAATTAACACATTGACACTGCGATTATACTGTATACTTCCTCTGCATTTGTTATGGTTTTAAAAAAAATAATTTTAGAATTTCAAAACCCAAACTGATGAAACTGGATTTATGTATTCGCATTTTTCTTGAGAATTAACAACAAAATTAATGCAAAATATTCATGCAATTTAACAGCTTAATTAATAAATAACGTTTAACATTTTTGTCATTCCTGGAGTAAAAAAAAAAAAAAAAAAAAAATGGAACATAAATCCCAAAAATTCAGAGGCCCTCAACATCTTTTATTGAATTTATGTGACAAGAAATTCCCAGGAATTTTTTTTTATATAAATTTTAAATAGTTACTTGTAATTATGCATTTATTTAAATTTTGTTCTCTTCAGATGTTTTTCTATATTTATGCAAAAAAAAAAAAAAAAAAAAAAAAAATTAATCTTTTCATAGTTGTTTCTTTATAATATAGTAAACAATAAAAATTGTAAACAGTTGGTTTGCATATTTTTATAAATTTGTAAATATAAAATTATTCTTGTAAATAAAGAATCTAATAAAATAGTGTTTAATACTTCAATTCTCAAAAAAAAATAAAAAATAAAAAAAATAAAAATAAAAAAAAATAAAAAAAATAAAAAATAAAAAAACAAGGGAATATATAAATCTAGTTTCATGTTTGGGTTTTATTAAAATTCTAAAAATAGCTTTTTAAGACAATAAAAATTGTCAAAGACACAGAGTAGTGGTATCAAGAGAAAAACTGTATTTGACACAATTTTTTTTTTTTTGTACAAATGTTAAACTTTGCCACAGAATCTTAAGTTTTCGGCTTTCTTATCTAGGTCAATATACAGAGCTTTTCATTGCAGATTCTGCCTCTCTCAGAGGCCATTGTTTCATCACTGATTAAATTTCAATTTTGCTTCTTTTTTTTTTTTTTGTTTATGACATACGAACAAGTAAGAGAATGAATTAAACATTTTTCCGCCTTGCATTAATATTTCTTTAAAGAAACCACAAGAGAAAGCCAAAAAAATGGATTAAATTTCTCCAAACTTCTATATCACCTGATGTTCTTCCTTGGTTTATTCCATCAAAAAATCACACCAATTTTGGTAAGTCTTTCCTGTTATTAAGTTTTCAAGTATGTGTGTATCTTAATAAGTGTATTAACCCATTAACTTTTTTTAATTTGTATTTTTTTTTAGACAGGTGTCTTAGGAGTTTATTTATTCCTTATGTTTAATTTCAGTAGTTACCATTGGCGTTTTTATAGAAACTAGAACATCAAATATATATGTGTATAAAACATCAAAAAATAATAATGATTAGAAATAATAAAGAAATACTTTTCAAAATAGTCATTATTTTTCCACTCGTGAAATGTAAAATAACGATAGAAAGTGTCTTCTTACGGCTAATAATAAAAACTTTAAAAGGCAAAGCGTTGTAAAATATACCTTTGCAAATGCAATGTATATAAGCAAGTCAATGTAAATACAAAGAATAACATGTAGTGAGTTTAATTTTAACAGATCCCCAAATGAGGCTCATGGCAGGTAATGGGTTAATGTGCTGAATCTTTTTCAATCAAGATTCTTTAAGAAAAATTCAAATTAAAAAAAAAAAAAAAAAAAAGCTGAAAACTCAATTAGAAAAATAAGAACATTTTATTTTTTACTATGAATTTTTTTTTTTTTTTTTTTCCTAAATTGGTAATTCCATTTCATTTAATTCAGGCAACTGCAAATTCGGTGCATTGTTAGCATTTTCTCCATTTTTCACAATTTCCAAACATTGTGAAGCAAATTCACAAAATATCGGCTCCTGCATGGCTTGCTCAATGTCTCTGCTGATTTGATTTGAGCTGTTTACCTGAACCAACATGTCACGTAAATGTCTGTTTGTCAAAAGGTCCTTTAACTCACTGGATGATTCTGAAAAAAAAAAAAAAAAAAAAAAAGACATTGTATTAGTACAGATGCAAAACATGCCCCAAGTCACATGTCTGTCAAAGTCAGCCAAATCTTGGCATCTTGGCTCCTATGTTAACAGCAGGACAGCTTGATATATCTAGATACAGGCTTCTCTGCGACTTATCCAGATCTGGATCTCTGTTAATCATCTCATGCCAATAAAAGTGATGAGAAAACCAGCAGTCCCGTTTTTGGCAGGACTTTGCTTTGCTATCATCGGAGATTAGTTATTTTGTAAAGACATACCTTTGGAGCATTTTGTTCCGAGAGTTACATACTGCCTGCCATGCTGTGTTTTTTGAGGCAAAGGCCTCACTCATCATTATTCCTTTATTTTTTTTTTTTTATTATATCTTCCCATCTTTCTCTCTAGCTTCTCTGCTTGTTCACCCTTAATTATTAAGAGAACAACTTGTTAAATGTTTCCCCCCTTAACAGCAATAAACCTCGCATTATTTTTCTACAGATATTTTATTGATCATTGTGTTGTTTTTGTCTCTGTGATGCCAGTTATTTTTCGTTCTGGTGCTTTACTACCGGTCAAAGGCATTAGGTGATCCTCTTTGAAGGTCACCATTTTTGTTTTGATATACCAAATAAATCAAACAATAACAACTACTCAACCACTCTTCTATTGTCGTTTCACTCAAATCTGATAAGATTTGGTGGATATACAACAGGAATGGTAGCTTGAATGTTTTTTGAGTTTTTTTTACTCATTTCACTCCAGGCAAGGCAATAAAGCCACTAAAGCACAAGGGGTTACTAAGTATTAGAGAATATGAGAAAAATATACAATTAAGGAGAGAGGACAATAAAAGAACAAGAATTAAGACAGAAGATAATGATTGACATTGCATTCAATTTTTGAAGATCAAAGTTGACGGTGAAGAGAGTTCCGGAAACAAGAATTGCGATAGGAGAAACTGTTAGCATCGGACTTATGGTTGCATCTAGCAACCATTTCAACTGTAAAATGAGGAGACCTTGCCACACTAATACTATGCTTAAATTCATTAAGTCTAGATATCATAGAGGAAAGTTCATCAGAACAATTACCATGAAAGTATTTATAGAAAAGACACAGAGAAACTAAGTTGTGGCAGTGGGAAAGTGGCTGTTTTAAATGAAGCATTGGCAGTTGTTAATTTCTTTCATCTTAATTTTAGGTGCTTAAGATGGGAGAAATATTACTCAAAAATTAATCAGGAACATATACTTTTATTATTTCAAACTACTGTTCTCATCTTGGTTGATATGCTATTATAGACATTTCAGCCAGGTACCTTTGGGCTATCATCAGTTGTCCATTGTTTGGCTGATATGGGATCTCTATAGATATTGTGTAATTTTAGGATGCAAGTTACTGTTTGCTCCTTCAGAACCGTTGCCTGACCAAAACTATTGCTCACTGGATTCATTTGCTTTCTTATGGCTTATCAACCCATTGCAGGTTGTTTAAAACCAGAAAATATTTTTACATTGTAAGAATTGTTTTTGGAGATAATAATAGTTTTAGTGATACAAGTCTTACTAATTAACCCATAGTGGGGAAGTGGATTCATGCCTTTCCCAAGAATATCAACATAAGTAAGTATAACAAACCCAAATTGAAATGAAACTCAGCTTATTTCCAATTCCGAATCATTATCTATTACACCCCTCCCACACATCCAAGCTTGCTGCACCTAGTATACCTAAGCAGTAACCCATCTAGTTACCAACCAAGTTAGATGTTGCTTAACTTTGATGATCATACGAAAACTGGTGTTTCAATGCGTTATGGCTGTAAGCCCCTATGGAGCCCACTAAGTGATATAATTTATTTGCCTAATTAATGACAGTGAGTAAATGTTGATGCTAAATATTTATTATTTTAATTTTATTTGGCTTAATTATTTATGTATTATTTTAAATATTTAAAAGGTCTTCCGTTAACCCTTTGCATTTTAAAAAAAATTTATGGTCATATATGTTGGCTAGGGAAAGAGGTAGTTCTTTTAAGAAAGAGATATTTGAAAAATCCAGAGTGTTAGTTAACATTTTGGCAAGAATTAATAATTACACTTTCAAGAAATTTTCATCTAAGTAAATTATCTTTTCCTTCAATAAATATAGCATTCTTGAGATTGAAGTTATGCTTGAAATTATTTTTGCATATAACTAATGCATTGGATAAATTATGTAGATCCTTCTGAGGTTCATGAATATGTTTTTAAATTTCTGCAAGTTTCACCAATATATTGTAAGGAACAGCTATGACAATTTATTTTGTATACATCTGCTTCAGAATTATAATTTTAGATGTGGGTGTAATTATTTTGATATTGTTATGATTGGATAAATTGTTTGGAACAGAATATGTTAAGGAGTTGGTAGGTAATGTTAGATGCCTGTTTTTATCAAGTTCATTTTTGTTAATATCTTTTTTGTTGCTGTAGATTTTATATATTGGAAGTTTTTAAAAGTATTTTCAATATATATTTCTTTTTTATGTAAATACTAGGGCTACAGATTCTTAGTGCTCAAATAAAATCCTGCAATTATTTCAGATTTTATTCTACTCCAGTGGTGAGAATAGTGGTTTATAAGGTCATTCTGGTTGGTAGATTTTCTGTAAACTTTTAATTGAAGGTCATTATTGGTACTATTTAGCAGGATATCTAAGAAGGGTAATGTTTTATTAGTCTCAAAAGTAAAATCTGTTGTGAGTTCAACACTATTAAGTTTGTTTACAAGGTCGGATAAAATGGTGTCATATGGATTTATGATTAGTGTATCATCTCTATTTAAAATATGAATTTTGTGGTAAAATATTTTTGAAAGGACCACTCTATAGAAACTCTAAAAAGAGACAAGCTAAAATGCCACTAAGAGGGGAACCCATTGTTGAACCAGATTTTTGTTTATAAAAATTGTTATTGAAGGTGAACATTAATAATTAATTGGTACATTTTTATGATTTTATGTCGGGGAAGAGGTAATTTTATTTTTGTTTTTAGTAGATTTAGGCATTTCTTTACAGGAACATTTGTATATAAAGATTTTAGATTTTATATCTATTGTTTTTTTAACCTATTAATAAGATCAAGAGTTTATTATATGTGAGGATGTGGTTAAAATTTTGATTAGTGTGCCTTTTAGTTTATGTAGAACTCAGGTGTCATCAGGATACCAGGTTTATGTACTTTTAGTAATATGTAGAATATAGGTGTTTTCAGGTGATGTTTGATTAGTTTTAATCAGGAAAAATCTGCATTTTTTGATAATTTCCTGATTTCATGCTTAAATTTTTGTGAGCTTGTATTCATTTATCTTTTCATATATACTGTTGGCTTCAAGAAAGAGTTTCATTTTTTGAAGATATGTATGTGTATCCATAATTATATTTCCACTGGCTTTGAAGGAAGCGGGTTATGTAAATGTTCTTGTTATTAGATATTCCTTTCAAGGAGTTCATATATCTGTGAAATCTACTAAAACATATTGCATTTAATTTTGCGTCTACATGGGGGGGTCATGAATCCATCTCTCCTCCTCCTTTCAGCTATAGGGTTAAATAGCAAGGAAAAAACTGGGCTCTCCAACCTTCTGTGGCAACCAGAATGATTACGCTGAATTCAAAAGGTATAGAGAAGGCAACAGGAAACCACTCTGTTACCTTTCTAAAAAAAAAAAAAAAAAAAAAAAAAAAAAAAAAAAAAAAGCCATGTCAATTATTTGTAGATAATGAAGAGTAAAAGAATCTGTGAAGTGTCAATATTGCTTATGTCCTAAAGGACATGTCATGTAAAAAAAAAAAAAAAAAAATTTTCATAAATGTAGGTATATCATAGTCTAGTCTAAGATGAAGAAAAAATTATTGTGCACAACAAATCAACTTCCTTGTCAATGCACTTAATTCAATGATGATTATTAATCACATAGATCAAGCATTATATTACATTCACTTACACACAAATGGACTTGGGAAAGGTATGAATTTATTGAATTCTTCCAGTTATGGGTTAATAATTTTTTTCCACAGATGCAACCAGAGGTTGCTTACATTCACTTACACGCAAATACACTTGGTATGGATCCATCTCCTCCCCTTGCTATGGGTTAAATATTAGGGCTTGTATCTGGAAAAACATTGTTATTCCCAAAAACTGTTAATTTTATATTTCACTTACAAAAAAAGAATTATTCCTACAATCCAAAATGTTTTGGCTTTAACTAACCCACAAACGTTTCATAAGAGATATAAAAAAAAAAAATCAATTAATCAGTGAAAATTTCAGTTCAAAAGTCAGCCAACTAGATTGTCTTATTGATCCCTAGCCATATACAGAAAGTCATTGTAACTATGGATTAGAGAAAAGTATTAAGAAATACTTACCTAATTTCTGAAGCTGACTTGACAACACCTGGTCATCTGTCATTTCACTTTCTTCTAAATTATTTTCTGAAGGAAAAAAAAATAAAATAATGATAAAAAATTCAAATGAGAATACATTCAATCAAACTAAATTTACCTCACCTGAATGCATAAATAAAATTGTTATATAAAGCAAATATACGGCACACATTTCATCCTTACACCAGAAGACAGCATTCAGGATTTGAAATGAAACAAGCTGTCACAAGTTCTGTCTAGAAAGTATCCAGCCATTTTGAATATCATAAGAACTAATTGCATGGTCTTCAGCCATGTTGACAACTAATCAATGAGAACAAACAAATTTTCTTTTATGGAGTTATTCAGTCAGAGTGAGACGCCATGGAGGGGGATGTTTGTGTACTGTGTGTAACTGTCACATTCATCATGACAATGCATCCACCTATTCTTCAGGCCTTTTGCAGGTATTTTTAGCAAAACAATCAAAATAACACTGGTACGTCAGCCCTTCTACAATTCTCATTTAGCACTGTTATTCCTGGTTTTTCCCAAAGCAGAACAAAAAAATAAATAAAATCACCATCGAAAGGGAGATTTTTAGACTATGATTGAGATTTAGGAGAACACGACAAGGCAGCTAACACTGATCCAAAAGAGGACTTCACAAACTGTTTTGAAAAACAGAAGGAATTCTGAGATAAGATCTCTTTGAAGAGGTCTATGGTGTCATTGCCCTAGGTAGTGTGTGTGTATATGTATATATATATATATATATATATATATATATATATAGTGAAACCCGGATATAAGAGAGATTTTCTCTGGTCCCAAAGTGTTCCCATACTTACCTAAACAAAATAGACCAAACCCAGATATAAGAGACTTCTTCTCCGGTCCCGACAACTCTCTTATATCCGGGTTACACTATATATATAAATATATATATATATGCACACACAAAACTGTGTCAAAAAGACTGTTTTCTCATTGACACCACTATCATTTTAACTACCTTCACTCTTTGGCAATGTTTATTATTGGACAATAAATTGCCAAGAGTTGTATGATGTGCATTTCAGAAGATGAAAAAACGTTGTAGCTGATGGAAGGTACACAAGTTGATATCCAATCAGTAACGACTGGGTCACCGTGGAGAGGGGAGTATGATGTTGAAAGACCCAAAACCTCTAATGAACCTCAGCTAGAAACATCACTGATGTGTACTAAAGCATCCAATAGATGTATTTATGAAAAAAAGAAATGAAATGTCATAAAACCTGAACATGAAAGTGAATTTATATCATTTTTGTTCTTGAGAATTTACAACAAAAATAATAAACACTATTTATTTATTGTTTATTGGAATGGTTGTCAAAAACATTGGCTAACTGACAATTGATTCAAACTTTATAAAATGTTAAATAAGGATTTCTTTATAGTTGGTTCACATGTAACAATTTAATAAATGTTTATAAATTTATGAATAAAAAATTGTTTTCATATTTATTACTTTATAAATTGGTAAAATATAAATATGGCATTGCATTGGTTTTAATACAATTGTATTAGATTTTAGAATGTAAATATTAAATTATTCTTGTAAATAAATGATCTAATAAATAAATAATGTTTAATATTTTTGCTGTAAATTCTCAAAAGTAAAACAAAAGCATAAATTCACTTTCATGTTTAGGTTTTATTACAATTCTAATCATTGCTTTTTAAAACGACAAACATTCCCGGGGGGGGGGGAAGTAGACGTAGTTAAAATAATAGTAAATTGTCAATGGGAAAACCATCCTTATGATATTTTGGTTTTTGCAAGTATAAAGCTTCAAGTTTGTCAATAACTTCAGAGTAAAATTACAATGCTGTGGTTGAATATTACAAGTGGAGCCAAAGATATATTTCCAAACTCAAAAAAAAAAAAAAAAAAAAAAAAAAAAGAAAAGAGTTTTTAGAAGTTTCTGTGAAATGACAAAATCATGTGTAGAATAACTGGAACAATATTTGATGAAACCTTATAAAGGTTGTCTATAGGAGTAACATTTGCAACAGCCTGAACAGCTCGATAAGTATTTCCAAGCTATCATTCACCAAATCTACTATGTTCCTTGTCAATTAACATTATATATAAAGGAACAAAATATTAAGCAACAGGATAGGGCACAGGGAGAAATGGATTCATGCCTTTCTGAAAAATATCATTGCAGAATACATATAAACAACCTCTGTTGGAGTATGAGAAAATAGCAAAAGGGAAGTTCAGATACAAAAATTAAAAATCGGGGGGGGGGGGGTTGTAATCCCAAAGGTCATAAATCAGTTTCGCAAGACCAATGTAAAAAATGCAGGGGCCACGAATCAAAAATCCATATCCGCAACTCACAACACAACTACCTTCTTCAACCACAAAGAGCATTGGGGTTTCTGTCATTCAAAATAGTGTTCTTTTATGAAAGCAATAAAACCAGATATATCAAAAAATATATATGGTTACAAATTGTTAATACCAAAATATAATGGATAATGGTTAAAGAATGGTTAAACTAACTGGTTTATCAGTCCTTTCTCAACAGAGCAAAAAAAAAAAAAAAAAAAAATATATATATATATATATATATATATATATATATATATATATATATATAAATGTTTGGAGGTACAAAATTTATAAATAGTTTTAAAAACTAGGAAACCATTGATTTTAATATTAAAAGTCTCTAGACCAAGGCTTTATGGTCTTTCAAAAGTTCATAAGAAGGACGTTCCATTGAGACCAATACTTTCAATGATTGGTTCATCCCAACATTCTCTGGCTCAATGGCTTCTGCAGGTCATACAACCGGTCCAAACATTTTTTGCTAAGCATTGCATACCTGATTCGTTCACGTTTGTTGAACGCCTACAGGCCATACAGTCTTGCCCTGAGACTGATTTTATGTGTTCCTTTGATGTGTCCAGTCTATTTACTAACGTACCATTGAGGGAAACTATTGATATCTGTGCAGACTTTTTATCTGACGGTAACATTGCTCCACCTCCTTTTTCCTAAGGATATATTTATAGAACTCATGATACTATGTACTAGTTAGGTGGAGTTCAGTTTTGACAATATTATGTATAGTCAAGTGGATGGGGTCCAGATGGGCAGTCCCCTTGGCCCTGCATTGGCTGATATTTTTGTGGGCTACCATGAAATGTTACTTTTAAACAAAAGTGTCTAAACCATTTGTTTTACGTTAGATATGTCGATGACACCTTTGCAACATTCTCTAATAAAAGTGAGGCTGTTGAGTTCTTTAATGAGCTCAACTCCTTACACAATGGTTTGTCTTTCACTATGGAAGGAGAAAGACAATTGTCTGCCTTTTTGGATGTTTTTGTTGAGCGCAGTAGAGGTGGTTTTATTACTAGCATTTTATCGTAAACCCCACCTTTACTGGACTTTATTTGAATTGGCGTTCATTTGCTCCTGCATCAAGGAAAATTAATCTCGTTAAAACCTTGGTGTATAGAGCGCTTAAAGTGTGTTCCCCTATTAGATTGGACCGTGAATTTGGGAACCTTAGGAGATTTTCCTTAATGCTTGGCTATCCGGAGGCCCTTATTGACTACATTATAAGTAAGAAAACTAAGAATTTCATTCCCCTAAAATCCAGGGCCTTCTAAATGTCCGGTTTATTTGAAGATTCCCTGGATTGGGGGTAGTGGTCAGGGCTTAATTAAGCAGGTTAGCAAGTTGGTTTCCGGTTGTTTCCCATCAGTTGCTTTTACGTAGCATTTTTCAAACTAGGTCTGCGTTTCCGTCTTTTTTCGCAAGGATGTATTGCCCTACATCAAATTGAGTAATTTAGTATATGAATTTAATTGCCAGTGTGCTGCTGGTTATGTGGGCGTACAACCTTGCATTTGGAAACTAAATTAATCAACCGCGTTCCTTCAAAATACGACTTGGTAAAATAGATAGAATATGCTATCTTCCCCCATGAATATGGAATCGGCTATTGCTCAACATTTAGTTGAGAATATAAGCTTAATGCCAAGTTAATATAAAAAAGAGTGGTTTAGAATTATTCATACAGCCGATTCAATAATCATTTGAAGATTTTGGAATCGGTCTGTATAGGATTAAAAAACCTTCTCTCTGCCGGCAGAAAAAATTTATAAGGTCTCTAAATCTGTTGGGGATATTTTATTTTAACTGTCCCTAAGCTATTTATTTACGATAACCCTTCCCTCGTTACAAGTATATATACTTGTTAGTTATTTTAGTGTGTTTCCCCTCTTTTTTTTTGCTCTTCAATATCGCTATTATTCATTTAAGCTGATCCAACGATTGTCTCCTGATGAGATGTTGGCTGAAAGGGCTCTAGAGACTTTTAATATTAAAATCAATGGTTTCCTAGTTTTAAAACTATATATATATATATATATATATAAAATTTCTCGATTTAATCGGTAGAAGACAATATTTATGAATAAAAATGACAATAGGAAAACTGGTAATTGCTGGCGCATTTTAGGTCAATGTGGACTTTATCAAAGCAAAATACGAAAAAAAAAAAAAAAAAAAAGTATTTTGCTTTGATAAAGTCCACATTGAATGAAACGTCAGCAATTACCAATTATTCAATCATTATTTCATAAATATATATATATATATATATATATATATATATATATATATATATATATATATATATATATAATTAAAAGACTAATTACCTTTAAGCTCACCAACCACTCTACCTGCTTACAAGGAGATGGTTGGTAGGACTTAATGTATATAGATTCAAAAACTTTCACATTATAATGAATATTAGCCTCACTCAGCACTGATAACATGTTAGGGTGATAAAATCAAGCACACTGTTGGTTTTTAATCAAATGCTTATCTATCACTTTACGTAGTTGTGTTAATGTATCAGGTTCAGTGATAGAACCTGATACATTAACACAACTACGTAAAGTGTCCACCTTTCCCTTGCAAATACTGATTGGTACATTCTTTTATTATGGCAATAAAGGCTATGATTGGTCATGACTGGTAGGGAAGCATAGAAAAAAAACTATTTTGAGGCCTACTAAAGTTGACCCAATCTTGATTCTAATTTTCATTTTCAACAGACAACACAAAGAACAAAAGTTCTTTTTTTGAGGAAAGACTGTTTTCTCCATCATTGCCACATGGAGTTTGAACTCATTTTGAGGAGTGTGCTTTCTCACTCAACTACTACTACTACTACTATTACCACCACCACAAACTATCTAGAAACAAGTAACTGTTATATTTAATGTGGCCAAGACAGGTTGAAATTAGCCAACAATGTATCCAAGCAGCTTCACAAAAGGCCAATTAAAACAATTATTTTAAAAACATCGTTTGGGTAATTCAGAATTGACTATTTTCTTAAATTTTTAACTAAAAACAAAAAAAAATAAAATTCACAATATTTCAATTTAAAATCTCTAAACAAATGATTTCTTTACGAAAATTAAAAAGAAAAACATTAGTTGAAAAAAAAAAAAAAAAAAAAAAAAAAAAAAACTGTTCCAGTAAAAGAACTTGCATTAATTATTCACCTAGAGTGAGACCATGCAAAACATTTCAGATATCAAATTGCATTTTCTTTTTAAACCTTAATTATTGCCAAGTCTTACTTCCCCTTTCACTCTATATTGCCTTGTTCTTCATTTTGACCAACATCATAGTCTTTTAGTGATTAGAGTCAGCTGTAGTGGCAACTCAAAATTTTCAATTAGTAAACCAAATGGCCTCCAGTGTGCTCTAGAGTATTAGAGACAGGATTAGGGAATAAGGCACTATTTCATTTTCATTATTATCACTCATCCTAAAAAGTTGACAGGATAATACACACACACACACACACATCATAGAATAAGGAAAAATAGGAAATGTTTATGAATTGAACATGTTTCGCTTTCATTTAAGCTTCATCAAAAACTTTTGGAAACTAGTTGTAGAAGACAGTGTTCTGATATATTTGAGTTTTGTTTTCATTGGTCAAGTTTGGTTTGTTTTACGGCATATCAACCTCAATTTATTTTTATTGCTGGTAATAATTATTTTTACAAAAATATGTTACTGGTAATATTTTTTTTTCCAAAAATGTATTGCTGGTAATGATTTTTTACAAAAACCTATTGCTGGTATTAAAACCTATGTCTACCCTTTCATAGTGTTTTGATGCCAGTTTGGTGGTTAACTATTTGTCCATAGCTGGGACCCCAACAGGTGCTACCACCCCAGGTCAAGGTAGACATGGGAACACCAGCAAGTAAGAGGGGGTTTCACACTCCTCAAAACCTGATCAGAGGCCTTGCTGTTGGACGTAGTTTATCATCATACCCAGAACGGTCATTGGTCAAGTAAATCTTCTGTGTGTGTATATGCACCTGGATTCTAGTGGTTATTTTTCTTTTGTTTAGTCGCATATCAACATCCTTATGGGTCATTTAATGCCAAAATTTAATTTTCTTGGTAGCATTAGTAGTTTCTTTTACAAAAAATGTATTGCTACTAAAATTGTTATTACAAAAATGTAGTGCTGTTAGTTCTTTTTTGTTACAATGTATTGCTACTAAGAATTTTTTGTTATAAAAATATATTGCTGGTAATTTTTTTTTTAACAAAAATGTATTGCTGCTAATATTTGTTTTTCCTTGCAGAAATGTATTGTGTATAAATTTTTTTTTTTTTTTTTTACTATGAAAATGTATTGCTGGTATTTTTACTATAAAAATGTTATACTTTCATAGCGTTTTGACCCCAGTTTGGGTGTTAACTATTTGCCCACAGACGGGACCCTGACAGGTGCTACCACCCTTTGGGGGGGGGGATAACAAAAATCAGGAAGTGGTTTCACACTGATCAGAACCTTCCAATCAGAGGTCTTGCTGGCAGATGTAGTTTATTATCATGGGGGCATTTTTGTGTGTCTGTCTGCCAGTATCCATGTGTTTAATAACTGAAGATGATAGCAAAAGGCAGATGGGAAATATGTGCCTGTATGCATGTGTATCAAATTTCTAATTGGTCTTGCAGGAGTTGGTGATGTCTGTAGGTGTATTGACTGCTGGTTAGATTAATGTTATTAATGATAGGGTAAATTCTATGACTGAGAAAAGAACCATGTGTATTGGCGGTATATGGGTAAATTTTCATAATCTTCATTCATCTTAAATGTTAATACTATACATACACACATATATATATTGATGCATGTTTCATTAAATAATATAGACAAGTTTTGTCTATTTATTTTATGTAAATTCTTTTCATATCGTCTGATAAGCTTAATAACAATCATTAAAAGAAGAAAGAAAATCACAATATTGATACATATTTTTTTTAATCCTATCTAAGCTTTCAGCTTACATAAGCCATTATCAAAAGATGACAATGTTATTAAGCTTATCAGACGATATGAAAAGAATTTACATAAAATAAATAGACAAAACTTGTCTATATTATTTAATGAAACATCATCAATGAAAAAATGCTGCCTAAATACACACGATCTATCTCTCTCTCTCTATATATATATATATATATATATATATATATATATATATATATATATGTGTGTGTGTGTGTGTGTGTCTGGCTACTTGTTTCTGAGCAAACCAGTCTGTCAAGATAGCTAGCTCATCACTATTACAGACACCTGTTCAACGCACAAAACCAACTTGTAGTTTATACTGCAACTATGCTGACTACAATTTAGTGTCAAATTTTTCTATTTAACAAGTCGTCAATGATGACGATTTATGACTTCATGCTAGCACAACCATCAATGGATTCTGAACAGCTCAGTCTACCCAATTTCACTCACAAGTCTTGGGTTAACCTGAGGTACAGTTTTCAAGCACTTTCTAAAGATGCCTCACATTGGCATTGCCTTCCCAGGCTGATATTATCAAAAAGTCACTTCTTTGACAAATTGACAATAGTGTGATTCAAATATGTCCAGTAAATATGTATGTGTGTGTGTATATATATATATATATATATATATATATATATTTATTCAAAAATTATAACATAAGCATGCTATAACATCAATACAAAAATAGCCATTTTGTTTCAACACTTCTAATGTCTTATCAAGTGATGGCGTTGATTGCGAAATGAAGAGTTTTTTTCTTGAAAAATCAAAACGAAATCAAACCCCCCTCAATAGGGGAAACATTGTTACATAACCTATGATGACCAATCAGAATACAAATATATGAAAATTCAAAAAAATGTAATAGTATATTCTAAATGCAAACCATTAGTATATTAAAGTTAATGTGAGATTAAACTAGAAATCAATATGAAATAATTAAGTTCTAATTTCACGGTAAAATTAAAGATTAAAAATTACAAATTTCAAATTCAACCGAGCATTAGGTTTAAAATATTATAAAGTTATTCAAAAATGGAACGGAGAGAAAAAAAAAAAAAAAAAAAAAAAAAAATATATATATATATATATATATATATTATTCCCATTTTTAGCTAAGTGCCAATTTATCCAGCAAATTCGGCTGATTGATATAAAAGTATCAATAAACACCACAAATATTAGATACAATGAAGCCAGATTATACAAATGACATGATAAACAGATTCACATCCTAGTACACAGACAAATATTAAACATATGCACAAAATATAAGAACTATATATATATATATATATATATAAAAGTGGATTAAAAATATAATAATATAAGAACAACTATATATATATATATATATATATATATATATATATATAAAATATAATAATATAAGAACAACGAATATATATATATATATATATATATATATATATATATATATATATATATATATATAAGTAAAAAATATAATAATATAAGAACAACTAATATATATATATACATATATATATATATATATATATATATATATAGGAAGTGCATTAAAAATATAATAATATAAGAACAACTAATATATATATATATATATATATATAGGAAATAGATTAAATATAACACATTGTTTTTTTTTATTTATATAAATATTAAATATTTTCATGGCAGTTGTTCTAATAATTTCTCCTCTTTGGCACCTCGATCACATGAATTTAAGCATATTACTAGATTGGCAACTAGGTGTCGTTGTTTTACTATAAAAATAGCTAGTCCATGATTTATGAGGTATTGGCAAGGCATAACAGTCATGCAAAATAAGTAACTAACAAAATACAATTATTATAATTGTAGGATTTAATGAGTGACAAAAAACATTGAAAGTTTCAAGAAAACATTAGCATTATATAATTCCACTCCTTCCTCTACATTTATGGGTGTAGTGACAACTGGAAATGGTCCTTACAGTTTTTGAGTGTAAATAATGGCAACCCTGTAGTAATTAGTATTATAAACAAGAAGCAATGAGTACTATTACCATTTTCAGCTGGATTTTCATCAGTTTTTGTTGGTTTAACATCTGAAGAATCTTTTCTTCGTAATTTGCAGGATTCTATAGAAGGAAAAAAAAAACAGACAGAAAATACATTAAAATTGCGAAAAACAGTACAAGAAAATTTTTGTTAACTCAAATACGGGCATCAACTAAAACTAACGTTTAAAGTGATAAAAATCTGTTGGATTGATAAATAAAAAATCCATTACTTCTTTAGTAATTGCTTTGTTTATATTTGGATACGAAACTGAGTAGATATGAACTTTCGAGAATCTGATAAACAAACCTGAATAAGCACCAGATTTGTTTATCAATTTTATTCATTTTTAATTTTTACAAATTGAATTGATTTTCTAATTTTGATTGAAGACGATTTTAGGTTTTAATAATGTACCAGTTTGTTCTCACATTTAGTTCCCTAAAAGTATATTTCATTGTTCTTATTGAAAAAAAAAAAAAAAAAGTAATTGTTTTTACCAATGATTGATCTCTGACAAAATGTTGGCTAAAAGGTTCCTTAGATATTTTTCCTTTTTCTAGCATTAAAATGCATATATTAGTTTGGTTTGGTTTGTTTTACAGCATATCAACCTTAATGGATCATTTAATGCCAACTACTTTTTTTTTCCTGATAATATTTTTGTTTTGTCAAAAATCTATTTCTGTTAATATTTTTTCACAAAAATGTATAGCTGGCAACATTATTTTTTCAAAAACGTATTATCAGAGGCCTTGCTGTTGGACGTAGTTTATCGTCTTACCCAAGACAGCATATTATATATATATATATATATATATATATATATGAAAATTTCTCCAATTTGTGTGTGTGTGTATGTATACACGCACACAAGATATGTGAATGATGACAAAAGGAAAATTTAGCTGACGTGTTTCATCCTCTGAGGGATTTTAACAAGGCAAATTTAAGGATTTTGTTTTGTAACAAGTATTTATATGCAAGAGAAAAAAATTTTTGCTCTTGTATATAAATAAATGTTACAAAATAAAATCCTCACATTTGCCTTCTGAGGATGAAACATGTCAGCTAAGTTTCCCCTTTTGTCTTTATTCATATTGTCCTTTTACAGATATACTCTATCTGAAATTTTTGCAACAAAGGAAAACTTTTCTTTGCTAAAACATTTTGTCCTCACATGAACTTTATCAAAACAAACAGAAGGATTTTATTTTGCAACAAGTATTTATAAATGGAAGTAAAAATGTTGTTAGCTTTTCAGAATTTTCAAATTTAAAATTCAGTTATTTACGAGTGTTCATTCATAAATATACTTAAGGCTAACTGAATAGTCAAGGTAAATTATGGAAGATGCTAAGTGATGTAATTTAATGTCTAAGAAACAAAAATTAGTAAATGTTATTGTTGTTGAATATTTTTTTATAATCTAATATTATTTTAGTTTAAGAAAATAAATATAAGATACATTCAATTTTATGTATGTAACATGGTTTTTTTGGGCTTTTCTTTTTTAACGTAATGTCTTGAGATTTATGTATCACATCAATGAAAAGATGTGTGAAAATTGTCTTACCTGGATTTGAAGAATGTGTTTTGTAACATGCCACTGAGCAACTGAAAAATAAATTAGTCAACAAATACAAAATTAGAAAGAATTACTTCGATGTTAATTAAACCCTTAAATTTATAAAAATAAATAAATTTCCCCAGAGTTAATATTTTCAGATCTGGGATCATCAAAAAAAGATAGTATTGGAAAAGCATTACATAAGATTAAAAATAAAAATTAAAAAAAAAAAAAAAAAAAAAATCTATTCCTGAAAAAGAATGGATTCAAAACAAAAATACTTTCAGTACATCTCAACATTTGTATTCTGCAAGCAGATTTAGTAGGCTTAAGGCTTATTTGATATAAAGAAAAAAATTTGTTATAGTCATGCCCTCCTGCACTGGTGTCTTCTCTGACCAATAATGTTTGTTGATTTATTTGCTTCTAATACGTTTTCCCGCCTTAACGCATTTGCTCCCGACACAATATCTTAAATCCTGTTATAGCGAAATGAGTACAAAGCTAATAAAAAAAAAAAAAAATACATTTTGTGCTGAATGTAAATGTAATCTTTTCCCTTTGCCTTGAATGTTTCAATAAGAGAAATATAAAATAAGAATCGCAGGCACCTCTAGGTGGTGTAATGGTTGGCAAGCTTCTCTCACTAGAACAATTATGACTGAGAAGTTCAATCCTCATCTGGATACTCCTTACTTTCGGCCTCGTACCACATCCGAGCTCCACTTGGAACATCACTATAAAATAAGAATCAATTCAACTTTTCCTAGTGTTGTAGCAATATGTGCTTTTATATTTTTTCTTTTATATCTTTTCAAGAAATCAGATATTCGGAAGATGTTCTTTGTTTTATTTATTAAAAAAAACACCAAAAAGACAATACATTTTGTGCTGAATGTGAATGTAACCTTTTCCTTTGCCTTGAATGTTTCAATAAGATAAAATAAGAATCAATTCAACTTTTCCTAGTGTTGTAACAATATGGGCTTTCATATTTTTTCTTTTATTTCTTTTCAAGAAATCAGATATTCAGAATATGTTTTATTTTTATTTATTAGGAATGTGATTTCTATTAGATCAGAATTCTTCCTAGGTTTATTTTATTGGTTGTAGGCATTCTTTTTTGGTTTCCTAAGTATACTTTCTTTTTTTTTTTAATTTCATAATTTTTTGCTAATTATCTGTTAACTCAATCTTTTAGTTTACCTTAATGCATGGTACAGATTAGTGTAGATAGTACAGCTTAGTTTATATAAATATTAAAAAAAATGACTCAAAAACCAACAGCACAAATTCCAAAGGAAAACAAAATAAAAGACAAAAAAAAAAATTTTCTAAATTGAAAATATCTAAAGTTTTTTTGGAAAAAATATGGTTCTCATGTACCATGACCTCGTAAGTAATCAATCATAGCATCCCACTCTCAATAATCCTCATAGAAAAGAAATTGGAAAACAACCCACTAGAGGGGGATGTATTTGCCTTGCAAATATACCACCACGACACCCCGGTTGGTCATGTGGGCGGCAACATGTTAACACTACTACTTTTGAAGTTTTGCCACTCTAAACAATTTGCATTGCTACTGTTTACTAAGTCAAAAACTAATTTCAGAAATTACAGTATACTATGCTACCAATATAAAAATTTTTTTCATACTTTTAAAAGTTTTTAACTTGAAATAAGAGCTTCTTTTTTTTAATGGGAGATAATGATATGATAAATCTTTTCTATTTTTTTTTAAAAAAAAAAAAAAAAAAAAAAAATGTCCCAAATTACACTATGTATAGGCTAGAAGCAAGTATGCCTCAGACTGGCTAGTTAAGTTGACCATTAATACTGATTAATGAATACAATCCTCACTGGGTGCCCTATACAGGATACGATGGATAAATTGTCATCTAAATTACACAAAAATGAAAATAACACTGACTTCTCATTTTAGCAGATATATTTACCAAAATTAAACAAAAATATCTTGAAATACTAAAGAGTAAATTTATTCAATAAAATGGCCATTGGCTTCAACCACAGCGTCCAGATGACTTCGGAATCTCCTGCAACTATTCTGGGTGGTCTTCTGGTTTAAGTATCTGAATGCTGCTATAATCCTTATCTTCAGTTCATCTTTGGTGTTACAAGGAGTTTTGTTGCACCCCACACATAATAATCAAGGGGATTGCAGTCTGGGGAGTTATGTGACCAGAAGTAATGGGTGATATGGTCGCAGAAATTATCTGACAGCCATGACTGGGTTCTCCTGCTTGTGGTGCATGGTACAAACTCCTATGTCAGACATAGGATCTTCTAAGCCATCCTCTTGAACCAGGGCAGCACTACCTTCTCAAGGCATTTGATATAGGCCCCCGTGTTGTCTGAGGCCTTCACCAAATTTGCAAATTCTTTAATCAGAATAATCAGAGCGAGTTTTCCAAGCTGCCATACCTTCCTAATCAACATTAGACTCATCCAACTCTTTCCAAATAGTCTGCAGTGTCCTCAGATTGACACCCAAACACTCTGAAATGTTTGTATTTGGGCTTCTGGCATGAAGTACAGCATGCCATTTACAAATTTCTGGCAGAGTGAATTGCATCATGGTGCTCTTTTTTCTCACAGACGGTGCCCAACTGACCCTACTATACTGTGCAGTTGACAAAATCAAAAATAAACCACACACGTGTGAAATTAAAAATATAATATGGCGACAATTTACCCATCGCACACCTTATGCCAAATTTAGCTAAGCATAGTAAATGAATAATATCACAAAAAAAAAATTTTTAAATCAGTTCATCTTAGCCAATAAATAAAAATGGACAACTTACTATTTAATCAGACATTTTGGACATTTGTATTTGCTGACTTCCACAGAGCATATTTCACATTTCACGGGTTCTTTCATCTCGAATTTGATCCAAAGAATTTTGCTGAAAAATAAAGAAATACAAACAAATTTCAAGAATCCTCATTCAACTTAAGTCCAATTTGTTTGCTTTTAATTTTAATTGAGGTCAGCTGATAATACAGAGAGAACAAAAACTAGGAGAGTTATCAAGGCAAATTAATTAAAAATGAGATATCTGAAGACATGATACATGGAATTACAATCTACCCCCTGTAGACTAAATAAAAGGATATGGTTCAAAATTCCAACAAATATCACCTGAAGACGGTCGGAGCATGCAACGGCCGAATGTGACAGTAAAGATGAGAACAACAAACCGAACAATTTAAATAGTGTTAAATAGTTACAATATCTCATCTCGGAAATATAGACAAAATGTAAAATTATGATGACATCTATATTTTTTGGTAAAGGTCTAGAATCGGGGCCATAATTTGCAAGGGTAAAAATGAAAGCAATTTTGTCAATACACTTATCATATGAGTTCAAACTTAAGATATCCTGAGGACTGGTTGATATTTTTTAAGTGACTAAACTACAATTATTCAAAGAAAACACTAGTCGACTGGTCCAGATTTTTGTAGGAATGCTAGGAACCAACAAGTATCTCCACAAATGAAAATATATATCTGAATAGTGAATATGTATTTTGAAAATCTGACATTAAAAAACAACAATATATATATATATATATATATATATATATATAATATAAAAACTCTTGAATTATGGCCCCAATTACCTTACTTTTACCTTTTTTTTTTTTTTTTTTTTTAGTTAGATTAACTGTGTAAATCAGTGGTTCTGAACCTTTTTTTTACCCATGGACCTCTTCTCCCTTTTTTTTCTTGGTGGACCCATTTTCCTTTTTTTTTTTTTCTTGGTGGACCCATTAATAGCTATTTGACATAAAACAATTCTATTTTTCACAATTTTGAGGTTTTAATAATCAAAGAAATATTACATAAGTAAGCTTTATTTTTAAATGAAAACTAATTTAATGCAAATAAATTATTCTACAATTATAATTATAGCAATAATAATTTTCATCAACCAATATCTTGTATTACAATATTACAATGTTTCTTCCATAGTCAAGCCCAAGGGGAGCAGAGCTCTTCAGGCAACTGAATTCACTGCAGCATTTATTTATGCACGCTGGTTAAAAATTTTAATAAACCAATGTAAAGTGTGTGATTAGCAAAAAAAAAGAAAGGCATATTTATTTAATGAGATCCCTGTGGTTGATGATGCTTGGTGAGTTTCATTATATCTGGTTCTATTGATGTTAATGATAATCAAAGTAAAGATCACCTCTTTTCACGATGTCATGTCTATTGTGAACTTTTGATAACAGTTGAGAATCACAACTAAATCCTAATTTAATCTCAAAAAAGCAATAATGTGAAGCTGTGCTTTATCCCAGACCAAATGGTACTTTGCAGCAAATATCATTTGTTTTCCATATATTGTACTTTCTATCTTGGAATTTTGCATTATTTCATCACTTTGTAGTAAAACAATGAGGGGCTCTTGCAAAGATATGTCTATATCAGCAACATTAACTTGGAAAGGAATTGAAACCCAAATTGGTATATTCATTATGAGTAGCTCACTAAACCGAGTTTGCATATCTTCATGCAGATTTTCCAAATATCAACCATATGATGCAAGATCTTTATCTTGCAAATTGCTGCTAACAGAGGCCAAACAAGGAAACTCTTCAAATGCACGACACCTGATATTTATACAACTATAGTTTCCTCAGAAAAGAAGCAATAGCAATATTACAATATATCAGAATCTTTTCCTTGGAGCTGTTTATTAAGTGAATTCAATTTTTTTAAATATATCTGATAAGTACTGTAAAACACGGCACATTTATTTGCAAGCAGTTCTCGATGTTACATGTTAGCAAGAAAGGAAACAATAAAATCCCAAAGTACAATGCTTACATAATTCATGAAAAAGACGGTCTCGGAGAGAATTTCATTTAATACTGTTGACATATCACAATAGTAATGGCATAAAGATAAAAGAAAAACGGGTCCCATCATTAAGAAATTCTTGTATATTGTTTTTTTGGTTTTTTTTATAAGTAAGCTGTAAGAAGTAATATTTCTTTCAAATCAGATTAATTTAACTTTAAATTTTCTAATTTTATTCAAATTATGTGTCATAATTTAATTTTGGAAGATTTTAAAAATCGATAAATTTGTTTTGCTTACAAATTTCTTAAAATTAAAAAGAATGGCTGCTTTTGAGAAAATTTTTAAAAATCGAGCATTTATTTGACATTCCAATCTATATAATTTCTAATTGAAATACGCCAGAATATTTTGTTTGTTGGAAATAATCATAACTTTCAATTAAAGCTAAAAAATGAAATCTTCAAAAATGATTTTTCATTTTTAAAAATTAATTTTAATTTTTTTTAATCCTTAGGTATCGAATATTCAGTGGAGGTACCTAAAAGAAATCAAAGAAAGAAAGAAAGAATTAATTTCAATAAACTATTATTGCACTTGAAATTTAATTTTTAATAATAAAAACCATTCTGAGTTGACTTTCTTCGTGGACTACCAAAATATCAATGAGAACCCCCAATTTGTTATATTTTGCCTATGGGGGCCAATGTGGACCCTAGAACTTTTGGTGTAAATTATATGTACAGAACAGCCGACAAAAAAATGTATTTTGCGTTGCACTTTAAAGATAATTAACAAGTGTAAAAAAAAAAACAGAGTTGGTAACTGAACTACTGTACTTAAAAATTAAAATCTGTTTAACAACTCCGTCCACAAACGTGATTCTGTGTAGTGTAAATGTAAATCACTTAACCTTGGTACAACCGATTATTAGTGAATTATTTATAAATTTCGTTTATCAATAATGGGTTTTCTCATCAAAATATACCAAAAATCAGTAAATTTGCAGTGACAAATTAAAAAAAAATATTATTGCTGGTGTAAAATCGGCTTATTATTTCAAAAATACCATTCAAAATTGGTGAAAATATACAGATTTCTACAAAAGTTCACTGGTCTCGATAATTTGTCACTGGGGCATTTTTACCTACAATCGGGGCCAGTAAACTTTCACGCAGAAATTGAGGGGATTTTACACTAGAAATTATATATATTAAATTTATATTCTAATTTGTCACTTGGGGTGTATTATCTGTAAATTTACCCAAACCCATAGACATTTAAGAATTTTATATTATATAATAAAGTAATAACTAGTTTCAAATGTAATATAAAGACACTTGTAATACTTGACAATAGTTAAATTTACAATTGTAAAAGTTTTATAATCAAAACAAGAAAAATTCACTTACTAGAAATTAAGAAATATCACGTTGTTTTTCCATACACCGGAAGTAGAAACTCAGATATTGCAATGTACGCTTCATTTTCGAAGCTTAATTTAAAAACAAAGAAAAGCATTTCTTAAATTTCACATTTTTATTTCATGAAAAGAAAATTCATTTGTTTTTTGCTATTGTTTTAGCATTGTAATGACAAATTATAATTTCGAAATGAAAATACGTATATTACTACTGGAAATCGTTGTTATAACTATGGAAGCACAAAAGAGAAACTTTTTAATTTTTCGGCGACGGATATCATAGAACTTATTTTTCAATGGTTCTTGACAAATCAGCGGTAAAGGAATTGATGTTTAACTCTTTTGAAGTTTCCCACGAACACCGATTACATGCAAATCGTTACTTTCGACTAAATGTACCACACTCATCGCCAATAATTCGTTAATTTTTGGTAAATTAAAACGAAAGTTGTAATAATTAAATTGTTTTTTCAACTTTAAATTATTCTTTTAAAATTAATTCTAATGTATTCATATATTCACACTACTATGGCAACTTGTTTCTGGATATAATACTTTTTAATGAACTGAATTTATTTTTCAGTGACTTGTGAAAGGATGTGGGGGTGTCTAGCAAAAATGAAAAACACCATGCTACTACGCTTATTTCCGTGGCCAAAAATAGACATTGTTATGCTATCGCGGAAACAATAAGAATCACCCGCGGGAAAGTAAAAGGGAACAGGAATAGAGCCTTTATTCCTCTCTTTTTCTCTATCCGGGCATTGATCACAAGATTCTGCCCTATAATTCATCAGTTCGCCGCTGTAGAAAAACATCGCGTGGACGTCTCCCAAAATGCAGTCTTCTTAACCAGAACATATTTCAATAATTTCATCGTCCTGAAAAGAAACTCATACAGTTATACAGGTCGGTCCGAAGGTCTTGTCATCCCTACCAAAATGTAATGAGAAGAACAAGTAATACAGTAATACAAAGCATGTAGAGGACCGTGTGGTTTGTGTGTTGCTGTATTAGAAACGCGTGTGTAACTCCTGGTAGAATATTAAAAGGTCCAACTACAAGAAAATGGCCGAACTTGAATTAAGATGTAAAGAAGACAAACAAGACCAATATATATATATATATATATATAAGCAAATATATGTATTAAACAAAATTTTACAATGGGCAATAATATTTGCGTGTGTGAACGTTTGTGTCTGTTCTTTGCTGAATGTTCGTATTTTGGTGAATGTTCGTACGTACGTGTATGTGTGTATAATGTTCATGGCCTATCCCACAAATGGGAAGACGCGGATCTTCTAAGAGAGCTTACATTGTAGTCGCTGAAATGGAGAAATGAAAAAAGAACGAGGTGAGAAGTCGCCCAGTATTTATAGTATAGGGAGAGAGACCCTTAGTAAAGAATTAGGGAATTAAAGAGGAGCTAACTTCGACAAGCACATGTAATAAATAATAAAATAAAATATATGAATTCAGTTTATTCACTTTCATTGACACTGCCACGCATCGAGAATGTCTATATTAATATAATTATCAAATCTTCCTAATAATTACTATCTGTGTATATCATCGCTTGAACCGGCTTCTAATGCTCCAGAGTGAGCGGCTTGGTGAGAGTTGTCGTGGCTCCAGGGGGCGCACAGTCCTATGGTTACAGAGAACACAGTATGGTTCCACGACGGAATATGTGAGCGAGCGGCGCTATGTTGAGTCTGATTTGCAATCTCTTCGTCACCGTGGCCCATTAGAACAGTTGGTATGATGTTTGCTTGACAACCTAACTGTCAGGGTTTCAATTCTTGGTAGTTGATGCGCGCTGCTGATGAGTCCGAAACGGCCGTCCAGTGCTTTCTGCATTCTGTTGAGGTTTCTATCAGACTCGATGAATTAATTAAATATAATTATCAAATCCTCCTAATAATTACTATCTATCTATATGTGTGTGTGTGTGTGTGTGTGTGTGTGTGTGTGTGTTTGCTAATATCCTAATAATACTAATAATTGCTAATAATACAGATAGATAGCGTTTAAAGATTTCAAAGGAATGTTAAAAAGCAGTAGAAAGCAGGTCGCAAGATATGAAAAGAAAAATTTCAGACAATCTTTGCGACTCCGAATAAGTTAAAAAAATTGCAATTTTATATCTCCAGAAAACAAGTGAACGAGATGTCATTGTCAGTTAACTTAAAAATGGCAGTGCAACACAAATTTACGGCAAGTCAGTCCCTGAACTGGAAAGTATTTAGAGATCAAACAACGAACAACCGAAACTATATAGCCTTGTAAGAAAGGAGAGGGCGATTATTTCCCTTTTGGTAGGATGAATTCAAGAGAATCACGTGACGGCTAGTGAATTGGTCAAAACATGGGGTAATGAACCCACAATTACTGAGTAGACAGCAAAGAAGCCCGAGGGGATTACCCGCGATGTTAAGAATGGAATAAAACCATATGGCCTCAAAAAGGAACATAAAATCACCGATGGGCTGGCTGTTTTTCATTTTGGGAAATATTACAATATTACTTTCGCTTTTTCACACTGCTTGTATTTTCCATGTGTTATAGTTTCTCTGTGTGAAACACATAGTGACGTGGATATACATATAATTTCTTGTATGACTTATCTCTCTATAAAATCTCTGTGCCCAATGCATATTTGGCATTCATATCGTTCAGCTATTCCAGTCCTTCCTTCTGTTGTGTTATGGGTGCTAGTATATCACAGATGAAGGCACAGTGGTTTAATAAATAGCGGCTCGGATTGAGGGCTAAGTTTGAATTCCAGTCGAGTTTATTACATTCGCTTACGTGCTAATACTCTTTGAAAAGGTATAAATCCATCTCTTGAATATCCTCATATTGGTAAATAGCAGGATAAGTTGGGCTATATAACCTTGGTTGGCAACCAGTGTAAGAAAAGGAAAACTCTGAATTCAAATCACCTGTTGCCTTGTAAGGCCAACCTTTTTGACAAAGGCTAGAAGGTAACTTTAAAAATAAATCCATCTCGCATGTCGTCTCAAAGAAGGTAACTGGACCTTATTTCGAGCTGCAACAGGACTGTATGATATTTTACGAAGCTGTGCTTAGGGTAATAAAAAAAAGTGAGTGTTCTAATAAAGGATTAAGGAGAAAACTCATCCTTTGGAATATTTTCAACCAATCAGAAGTAATTTGAAGCCTGCAGTAATTTGAAAAAGATAGCTTCATGGGCCTGCCGACCAAACTATAAGATGGGTCGTCAATTAGTTTAAATCGTTATCCATTCACGTCTCGTCAGTGTAAATAATCAGGATAGATGGTGGCCAAGCAGGTCAAATAACATTTTCAACTGAGATGTTAATGTGGGAAAGCCGGGACAAATTTCTCACGTCGGCCTTCTACTAAAGATTAATCGAGATCTGCTTCTGTGAACCTAGAAATTTCTGTCGTCGACCCACGAACTTGTAGAGGACCGGGTGTATTTACGAATTGTTCAATTGGGAAACACGTGCTGTTTATTCCTGCTAGAAGAATGTCCAACTACAAGAAAATGGCGGACTCAAACTGAGTCCAATCCAAGATGTAAAGAAAACAAACAAGACCGATATATACATGTCAACAAATATTTGTATTAAACAACAAGATTTACATGTGACAAAGACATTAACATTTGTGCTTGTGTGTGAACGTAAAGAGTTTGTATTTTGGGGAATGTTCGTACGTACGTGTATGTGTGTTTAATGGCGTTTTCCCACAAGTGGTCAAAACGCGGATTTCTACGAGAGATTACATTTTTAAATGTGTCCGCTGAAATGCAAAGTGAAAAAGAAGAGAACGAGGCAAGAAGTCGCCAAGTATTTATAGTGTAGGGAGAGCGCCCCTTAGTGAACAATTACGGAATTAAGGAGGAGCTAACTCCGACAAACTCACGCTACTACAAACTACGGATCTTCCGATTGTTTCTCTTCAACAAGAGCCCAGAAGAAATCTATGTTAGTGTTAACTCCTTAAGAACAATTTACTTGCTTAAAGAACTTTTAGGCGCTCAGGAAAAGTATTTTGAGCAAGCCTTTATATGAACGCTTTTTTTCCTTTAAAGGAATTTTCTTGTCCCTTTCTTTCTCTCATATTTTGTGTACATCCCTTTATCTTTTTTGTGTGTGTATTTAAATAAACATTTTCTTCTATTGTTAAACCCCAAGCAGGAGTTTAAGTCTTTATTCTTCCGCCTAAAAGAGAGGATTGTCTGCTCTAAATTGCAAGCCGATGTTGCTTTTATCGATTCTATCAACTTACTGGCGACTTGCGAAAAGTCGCCCTATTTAAGGAAAAGAGGTAGGCTCCCACGGATCCGCGGAAAAACTTGATCTTACATTAAAAATATGTGATTGGTTAAAAACTAACCAATCACTACACACGTACTAAACAGAATAGGTAAGTATGCCCAGAACCAAAAGATTCAAAGGAACGACTGCGATGGCTAAATTGTCCTATACAAAGGTAGTAGTAATTTATTAGCCAATCGTAGGCAAATAAAATGACTTGGAGTTTATGTGGGTGTGAAAAACATAGCAACCGCTATAATATAAATTATGCTTTCTTTTTTTTTTCAATTTTACACTTAGTATTTTTATTGAAGGAATTAACTAATTCTTTTTTTACTTTATTTTTTATATGGCAAAATCCCACTGAAACTGCATTGACAATGAATTCCTGATAATACTTGTATGTTAGTCAGTGTAGGACAACTATGATGTTAGCGACATTTTCCTATAAAAATAATGTGTGGTTGATGCCAAAATATCAATGAGTGATGGTCACATAAAAGAATATGGGCATTTCAGTTGGGGTTCAAAAATAGTATTTCAAGGACTGGCTAAATGATAGAAGATAAATCACAATAAAAGAGATCTTTGGATCATCACAAGGATTTTGCTGGTAGCAGTAATGAGATTTGAGACCTTCATTAAGTTAGGGTTTAGTTGTATGAAATTTAGTCGCCCAGTTTTTTTTATATGAAAAATCCAAACCTCCGAATTTGGAATAATAA